GTGTTTGTCGACTCCATCAAAGAGGTGGAATACATGAAGACAAACATTCTCCCAGTGACGGCGGCGAGGATCAAACTCACTCACAGGGCTGCAGTTTTACTGCCACAGAGACACTGGACACCGGGAGAGTTTAGTGAATCTGTGAGGATTTAAGGTTTCGTGCACCATGTCTGATCAGGGACAGCTACAATACAACAAGCTCCTCGTGTACACATTTTATTTTAGGCTTGTCCTTTAACACTGTTGTGTTAACTTGTTGTGCAAATACAGTTTAGTTACAAATCTTCTTGTTCTTGTTGTTCTGGCTGCTCCGTTCTTCAGGGGTCTCCTCAGCGATCTGGCTCACATGAAGACCTGGTGGTTGGTTTTATGCTCGCTGCCCGTTCTGATTGTACAACAATCATTTGGTGCAGATCTGATAAAAAGAAACAAGGAACCCCGGAGCAAAAGTGTTTGATAAAATGGTCTTTGTGAGCTTTTCTTTTTTCTGAGGACTGGGCCAAGTTTTTCAGTCTGAAGAACGAGAGTTATGAAAATCTGTTGGGAGTTTTAATAGTTAAAGTAAAAACACTTTTTGTCTCGACTCTCGTTGGTTGATGAAACAAACCAAACTCGTTTCCTCCACTAACCAGCGGCTGCTTACACGTGGAGTTTGCTCTCTTTAGTTGACACAGCCACATTTCTAAAAAGATGCTTCCAAACACGATGAACAACAACAAGAGTCCGGTGCGATTGCTGCTGATCCACTTTGGGCTCTGGATCGTTCACGAGGCCTCGGAGGGGCCGTGCAGCTGTTAATGCTACCAACACATGGAGCTCTGCAGCGAGCTGCGTTCTTGTCCCCGTCTTGTTGTCGGCACAGCGACGTGCAGAGAAGCAGGACTGTTCTGTGAGGTCTTCAGATTTGTTTCATCGCACCACGTGAGGGAAGAGGAACGAAACGTGCAGTCTGTTTTGTTCTAAGCACACTAAGAGGATTAGTTTTCCTGTTAGAAGCAGTAAAGATAAATCTAGCCGTTGTTGTTTGACTTGAAGGCGTGTGCCGGTGCTTTCCCTCCGTCTCTTTCCTTCGGTCGCTCCGGCTCCGTGCTGCGGTCCACGGGGGAATTGGATTTCAAATGTGATAGAATTGTGTTCTCCTCCTTCCATCTGATCCTCCAGCTTCTCTCTGGAAAAGGAAACTGTGTGTGTGTGTGTGCGTGTGTGTGTCCTTGTTTATGCTACTTTGTGAGGCCCATTTTTCCAA